AGAATGAGGAAAGTGCAAATGCATCTACTTTTTTCCCACCAAAGGATCTGAACCCTTGTCTTGTGTCCATTGCTTATATTTTCAAAAGGAAATGCTTTGCATTAAATTAGTGAAATAATCTCCATTGCATTACATTTCTTATAGGGGCTGTATCTTGAGCACGGCACAATATTTATCTTGTCTCTTTCTTTTCCCCTTTTCTCTTCAAAAGATTTCATCTTTGCGACACAGCTGAAATGGTTTTTCTTCCCTCTTCATTCTAAACCTCTCTCATTCCCGCATTTCTCAAAATTACAGTCTCAAGGCCTTTTGAGGTTAGCTAGCAATGGTGGAGAGAAAAGGGGTTGCTGCTCTTTTCTTGCTGTTGATTTTTCTTGATGGGTTTTCTTCAGCTTCAGCTGCTTCTCCAGCAAGTGGGTTTCTAAGCTTTCTGATTTTTTTTCTTGATTTTCTAGCTTTAGGCTAACATTTCCATCTTATTCTCATTAATTTCGGTAGAAATTGTAAGTGGGTTATTTTCAAGTGCACTATCTCATCTCCTGAAGAGAATTTGGTCAATCACTCCAACTCCAAAGACAGGTAAAAGCTCCCCTTTTTTTTCATTGCTGGGTCTAATTTTGTTGGAGGGTTATGATTTGATTTTGTTTGATTTGTTCTTTTCCTCCCCTAAAATTTCAGTAATTAGTGGCCGGCCAAAGATGAAATTTGAAAGTGGTTACAGTGTAGAGACTGTTTTTGATGGGAGTAAGCTTGGAATTGAGCCATTCTCCGTCGAGGTGGCTCCGAGCGGGGAGCTGCTGGTTCTTGATTCAGTGAATAGCAACATGTATAGGATGTCAATGCCACTGTCAAGATGTGAGTTGGTTTTCTGTTATGTTTCTTGTTGTTTGTCTTATTTCTCACTTAGATGCAATAATGCTCCTGAAGTATTTGAAGATTTGTCAATATACTGATTACCCAACTTGGGCGGTTTGTGATACCGCTCATATAAATCTTGTTCTTTTTAACTTTCTTTTCCCTCCAGTATAAGTACTGAGCCAGCGAAGTTTTGGCATTTAGCTCTTACGTGTGAGACTCTATTATATGTTGTACTTCTGTCTCTAATTGCATAAGTGTTTGGGATTTTATTTTTGAACTGGTTTATTCAGCAGTTAGGATTTTATTTTTGAATTGGTTTACTCAGCAGTTTGTAATTCTGGATTTGCTTTGTAACTCAGTGACCTGTTATAGGAATTTCTTTACTGTTTGTAAACCACATACAGTGCAGAAGGCATTTCAACAAAGAGAACTGACCGATAATGATGTTAAAAAACATCAAATTTAACTTGCTGCCTCCGTTTAACTTCATCCCATTTAACTCTTTGTTAGTATGGACCTTGTGTTTAAAGTTTGTAATATTTGAAAAAAAATTCATCTCATTTTTCTGATTTCTGTATTGATAATTGGTTGGTGTCTTCTGAAAAACAATGCAGATAGCAGGCCTGCAGCAGGATACACTGGCCATGTTGATGGGAGACCACGAGAAGCAAGAATGAACCATCCAAAGGGGTTTACAGTTGATAACAGTGGAAACATTTATATCGCTGACACCTCTAACATGGCCATCAGGAAAATCAGTGACACAGGTAAATTGAGTATTCAATATTGAAAAAGAACTTTTTTGGATTGATTTTCTGCACAAAATAAAATTAGCATATCTTGTTTTTAGGGGGTCCTAATAGCTTACTTGTAATAGACATGTACGATGTGCAATTTCTGACAATGAAAGTTTTGTGTCACATCCTACCTAAATAACTCATATGTGATCAGTTTACAACCATTGGCGGGGGAGTTGATATTGATATTTAAGGTATTACTCGAGTAATTTATTGCAATAGTATGTCCATAGAGCTCAAAAACTCCAGTTAGTATACAAGTAATTTGTTAGCAGATGCATTGATGAATGGGGAGAGAACAAAGTAATAACACTGCAAGCAACAAATGCAGATATATTTGCAAAATCAAAGTCCGATCTATAATCGACTTTCTTATGTAGGAGTTTCAACAATTGCCGGAGGGAAGTGGAATAGAGGAGGGCATATTGATGGGCCAAGTGAAGAGGCGAAATTTTCTAATGATTTTGAAGTGGTTTATATTGCGAGCAGCTGTTCTCTTTTGGTGGTGGATCGAGGGAATCAGGCCATCCGAGAGATCCAGCTCCACTTTGATGACTGTGCTTACCAATATGGGTCTGACTTTCCAGTAGGTAATTTGATATCTAATTAGTACTCTGCTATAAACTATTACCTTTGCTAAATTAATTGTGTCTGTGGATAGTGCCTTCGATTGTTTTCAGGAATTACAGTAAATTTTGTTCCTAAATTATAATTGCAGGAATTTCTGTGCTCCTTGCTGCTGTTTTCTGCGGATACATGCTTGCCTTGCTGCAACATAGAGTTGGAGGAATGGTCTCTACAGAAGATGTAAGCTTATTATATTAGTTTAGTGTATTTCTTTTTCGTGTTACAAATGTTGAGAGGTTATCAACTGGACTTATTAATACCTCCCCTCTAGCTGGCTTCCATAATCTCAAAATGCAACTACTAAACCAGAGGAATCATGTTTAAACTTTCTCTCAACGCACACCTTTTAATTTTCAGATTTTAATTTCACTTGTTTTGAGATGTTGCCTTTCTCCTTTTACTTCCGTACTTGAGTGAAGAAGCGAAGATAGGATCCTTGAGCTGTCTTGATTCTTTGATACCCAACAAAAGTTGTTCATGTTTTATCTTTCTCTTCACTTTCCTATTGTTTAGACATGAAAGTCACACTTATCTCTTGCTTTAAATTTTGAGTCTTTTTCGTTACATACTCCCAAATCATCAATATTTATTAAATAAATTACCCCTCAAATCATGATATGTTTATTAAATTGCCCCCCAAATCCTACAAGTTTGATTTTTCTACCCCAAACCTTAAACTTCACGATATCTACAGCAGGGATTTTGATCAGGTAAGTCTAACAGGGGGAGGGTTAGAATAGTAACTCTCGCCTTCAACTGTTTAATACTTAACATTGTTTGGTTTTTGGGGTACAAAGATAAAAAATTTAAGATTTGGGGGTAATTTAATAAATATTGGATATTTGATGGGTAGTAGCCAAAAAACCCTAAAAGTTTACCTTCAATTTGATCTACACTAAGCCTTAATAAATTTATCATGCAGGAAAGTTTAACCCCTTCATTGAAAGCTAACATACCTCCATACTACCAAAAATCGATGAAATTATCACTCAGGCCACCACTAATCCCAACCGAAAACGAGCAAGAGAATCAAGAAGAAGGGTTTTCCATTAGCAAGCTCATCGGTGGTATCTTTAACTCCACATTCTCACTTTTCAGAAAGAAACCAAAGCAAAATCAACACCAAGCATATTATCATCATCAAGGGCGAGTACACTCATGGCCTATGCAAGAGAGCTTTGAAATCCCACACGAAGATGAGCCGCCTCCTCAAATGGAAACTCGTAATCCTGCTTCTAAAAAGAATTATGCTTTTGTGTCGAAGGATTTGGAGAATAATCATTATTTAAAACAGGGAAGACCATATTTAAAACAGCAGTATTTGCAGCAGCACAGGCAGCAGTCTCTGGGTCCTCAGACTTACTATGAGCAGAGCCTTGAGAATACAAATGAGATAGTTTTTGGGGCAGTTCAAGAGTTGAATAGTAAAAGAAGGGCAGTTGAGATAAAGGCAGTAGACTATGGGGAACCTGTTTATAATCAGTATGGTGTTCGATCCCGGGTGCATTATAATGGTTACAGCAATGGATTCTAGAGGATTATATGTATACATTTTCGCCTAGTTGTGTCGAATAGTTGTTTATCGACTTTGGTAATCTTTTCCTTATACATTTTTGGTTATTTTTCTGTTCATAGAATGGAGGGAAAGCTAGCAATGAAAGAAACAACAATCAGGTGTGTTTGGTAATCAAGGTGATTTTCTTATTGTGTTTTTGTAGAAAAACACCATGCCATGGTGTTTTTTTTTTCAAAAGTGTTTTGAAAACAACATTTTGAAAGTTATTGGTCAAACTAGTTTGACCATTTATATAGCGGCGGTGGGGCTTAGGTGAAAAAAAAAACGAGATCTCAAAACATATTTTTGGTGTTTTAAGAAAAACGTTTATTTTTTTGGGTTTTATAAAGGATCAGGTCAAAAAAAACAGCATGTTCACCAAACGCGTTTCATTGTTTTAAAAAAAAAGAAACGTTAAAAACGTCCCGGTTGCCAAACGCTCTCTATAGTTAATGAGAAGAAATTTAAGTTTAATATGCTTACTCATTAATTATCAATTTTTTTGTTCAGATATGCATATTTGCGTGACTGGGCACTGTTTCTCCTTGCTAAAAGTTTTGTTTTATACAAACCTTTTAGAAGCCTTTTGGCAAAATTATAATTGATGTTGAAACTGTGTAGATTCATAGTTTTCCCGTCATTTGACCCATAGATGTATAGTCATCCTTGAAACTACAACTTCTTTTACAGTGATAGAGTGGGTTAAATAGCGCTCAGTACCCTATAGTTTCGCTTACTTAGCATTTATATACTTTAACTTGTTTTTGGTAGCATCTATATATTTTAAGTTATTTAAAATTGGCATGTTAGTGATCCTAATCATACAAATGTGAAAGTTCTTATTTAATTGTTCCTTTGTGATACTCATGGGCTAAGTACAGAGCTTTTTAAGTATTAAATTTTGTTAAATATACAATTGACATATCAAATTTCTATTTTAAACTTAATAGTTCTATTTTAAAGAGTTAGGATTGGTTTAATGATAAATTCAAAAAATATTAATAGTTAGAAAACTTTATAATTAGCATGTAAATATCATAGAGAAAAAATCGAGTGAAAATATTTATGTTTACATGATAAAGAATACTAACTTATTAATTTTAAACAACTTAAAGATATATAAACGCTACGAAAAACAAGAGAGGTAAATAAGTGCTAAGTGAGCGAAACTCGAAACTATGAGGTATGCTATGAGGTATGCGCTATTTCGCTGAAAATGTAACACGTTTCTTAAACGTGAATGCAAGCGGAATAGATTATTAAAATGTGCCAAATATGAATATTAATTATCATTATGCGGTAAGCGTACAACCTCTAGTTATGACAGTCATTGTAGAGCAAGAGAAATGGAAATCATTTGAATGAGGAAAATGGGACACTGCATTTGGATATGTTAGTCTGCTCATTCTTTCATGTTGAAGAGACGAGAAAATTTTCCTACTCAGGTACCTTCACGGCATTCCAGTTAACTGTAAAAGACCCAAAGCAATGTGAATATAAACCATTTAATTTTCAACCCATCTGTTTGAAGGAGCAAACTAGCAAGGTTACATAGAAAACAGTAGTTTCGAGTACTTGCAACATTAGCTGACACAAACAAGCAACATCACCTAGATTTATACAAGAGTGACAAATGAGGTGAATTCACGGTCTATTATCTCTCATAGGCCTCCTCAGAACCAAACCAGAGCTGTGGTCTTTGGAGCCCGCTATTATGCTGAAGCCTGATAAGTTGGCATTTATCATATCATCTATCTTGCAGAAGCTGCCTTCAGAAGCATCTACAGTCTCAAATTGCTGCTCAGAAGTTCTCTTCACCTCCAAAACACCGGTTCCTTCATCAAAGCTGATCAAATCCTGTAAATGATCACCAAAACTCTGCAGCTTTGGCATATCATCACAGTCACTGACTAAATCTGAATCGAGTAAGGAAACGGGTTCCTTCAGGGGAGTTTTCACACTACAACGCCGAACTCGCCTTTCTGGCATAATATTTCTAAGAACTACAGATAAATAGCAATAACCTAAGTTAACAAGCCGACACGTTAGATGATAGATTGGGGAATTAGCAGTCGCGCTTTTTACGGCGGAGCTGGCTGTCGGAACTACTCGCCCCAGATTGATCCGGTAGTGCTTCCATGTCTTGTGGATAAAGTGGTTGCTGAAGATGTGCTGTCTACAAAGATGAGATAATAATGATATAAGCGTTCATGACAGCGATATAACACATTTCTGATAAGGGTTAATTGCACATAGATGGTAGACCCCCTATATTTTCATTGTTGTAGATAGATCCCCTGGGTTAAATTTTTTCTTATTGTACCCTGGGTGAAATTTTGGCAGATATTGTCCCTAGGTGCAACAATGAAACAAAAGCAGCATAGGCGCAACAATGAAACAAAAGGGGCAGTAAGTTCAAAAATAGGGAGTATATGTGCAATTAACCCTTGAGATAATTCAAGTCACTTACACGTGTGGCAAAAAATGGCCGAACTGCAAATCCAAAAACCAAGCCAAATAAGAGGCAAAGAACTGCAATGACGGACACAGGTGCTACTCCCAGACCTGAAATTAAACCAAATGTTGTGATAGGTTTCCTTTGTTATGTAAAAACAATGGTCAAGTAATGACTTTGACGCCATAGGGTAACAATGACAGAACTTGCTTGATATATGACACATATAGTAGTCATTATGGATGCAGAAAACATTGAAGTCCAAGGTGAGGTGATATTGTACACAAACCCATATTCGATATAGCAGTTCTTAATCTAACTATCAATATATGTTAATACTGTAGAGAATTGAGAAAACCCTAATTGTTGTTTATTGAGAATAACAAGAGAGATATATATAGCCATACAGAGAAAACCCTAATTGTTGTTTATTGAGAATAACAAGAGAGATATATATAGCCATACAAATAGGGTTAATGTTAACGGGTAACAGATTGTTTATTGAGAATAACAAGAGAGATATATATAGCCATACAAATAGGGTTAATGTTAACGGGTAACAGTCTATTAACCCAATACCCAATAATTAACTTAACACTCCCCCTCAAGCTGGAGCATAGATATCTACCATGACCAGCTTGTCACATATAGTAGAGAACACCTTTGAAGAAGTAGCATTGGTAAGAATATCAGCAAGTTGTTGTGAGGACGGAGTGAATATGAGAGATACTATCTTCTTCTCCCAAGCATCTCTGACAAAATTACAGTCAACTTTAATATGTTTTGTCCTCTCATGAAACACAGGATTCTGTGCAATATAAATGACAGACTGGTTGTCACAATGCATTGGCATGGGTCCAGGCTGAACAAAACCAAGCTCTGTCATAAACTTTCTTAGCCACACCATCTCACAAGCAGTGTGAGTCATTGCTCTATATTCGGCCTCTGCACTAGATCGTGATACTACATCTTGTTTCTTGCTTCTCCAAGTCACAAGATTACCTCCAACAAAAGTACAAAATCCTGAGGTTAACTTCCGATCTCCCATGTCTCCTGCGTAGCCAGCATCAAAGAAAGCCAAAATGTGAGTATGCTCATGCTTCTTATATAACAATCCCTTGTCAGGATAACTCTTGACATATGCCAAAATCTTGAGAGCTGCTGTCCAATGAACCTCTCTAGGTTTGTGCATAAACCTGCTCAGTACACCTACTGCAAAAGTACTCTCTAGGTTTGTGCATAAACCTGCTCAGTACACCTACTGCAAAAGTAATATCAGGTCTGATAACTGTCAAATATATTAGCTTCCCAATTAGTCTCCTTACTGCAAAAGTAATATCAGGTCTGATAACTGTCAAATATATTAGCTTCCCAATTAGTCTCCTATATCGTTCAACATCATCTACGAGAGAGGTATCATCACGCCACAAATCAACATTTGCCTCCATTGGAGTGCTTGCAGGTTTGCATTCCAAGAGACCTGCTTCTTCTAGTAAATCTAGCACATACTTCCTTTGGGACAACAACAGGTCATGTTTTTTATATGCAACTTCAATCCCAAGAAAATACTTTGGCTTTTCCATGTCCTTGTGATAAAATGACGGTTTAGATACTCCTTAGTATCAGTTAAGGCAATAGAGTCACTCTCAGTCAGTAGAATATCATCAACATATACGGCTAAAATAACCACACCAGTTGTTGTGCGTCGAAGAAAGACAGAGTGATCAGACTGACAACGTTGGAAACCAACATTAGAAATAACCTTGCTGAACTTATCAAACCAAGCTCGAGGACTCTGCTTTAACCCATAGATGACCTTTCTCAGCCTGCAGATAATATTTTCCCCCTGAGCAACATACCCAGGAGGTTGCTCCATATAAACCTCCTCGACCAAATCACCATAAAGGAAAACATTCTTCACATCTAGTTGGTGCATCCTTTCATAATTTGCCTGAGAAATCTGAACAGTAGAAGCAGTAACAGCTGGACCACCAGAAGTAGTAGCAGAAATAAATGAGTTAGTCGACTCTGTATCAGCTACCTAGACCCACTGAGGACGACCAAACTTCTCTCAGCACTTCTCAGAAATATGATTGGTTCTCCCACAATGACCACACTGTCGTGAGCCCTTATCAGATTCACCTTGCCTCCCACCTAAGGAGCCACGTCCTCCCCCTGAATCACGGCCACGACCACGACCACGACCGCGGCCTTTGCCTTGATTAGAGAACATGACAGACTGTTCCATCGTAGGTGGAGATGGTGTAGTAGTATCAGAAGTAACACCAGTAGAGACTTGCATGACTCTGGAGAATGTAACAGTCAGTGAGGAAATTGTATCTCCACCCAATATCTGTCCCCTCACCTGGGACTGTAAATTAGGGTTCAACCCAGAAAGAATTTTGAATACTGTCAGATCACGACGATACCCTAATAGCGTCGCTGCATCAGCTACTGCAGGCTGATGCATCTCTAGTTCGCCTATCAATCCTTTCAATTCATCAAAGAACTCCGGAACTGACTTATCTCCCTGTTTGAGCGCAAACAGTCGCTCATAAATTTTAAATACACGGGAAACATTCTTCTCGTTCCCGTACATAATCTTTAGGTTGTCCCACATCTCCTTCGCAGTGGTTAAAAACATAACGATGCTACTGATCTGTGCTTCCATACTGTTGAGAAGCCAAGTCATAACACAATAATCAGATGAGAGCCATGAATTATAGGTGGGATCTGAGGTTGGTGGTGAAGATGCAAGAAGATGTGGTAGTTTGCTCTGAGCGCCAATGAAGATGCGTAAAGCTTGTGCCCAAAACAGATAGTTTACACCATTCAATTTAATAGTAGTCCCCAAGACTACCTTGGGCGCAGAGGTCTCACCAGCAACAATAGACGGAGTAGTAGAGGAGGAGGAGATATCCGACATCGAAGTAGTAGTCATTTTTATTTTTAAGCAACAATAGGAGACAAATAGTAGTCAAATAGACAGATTAGTAGTAGAGATTCGTTCTTGAAACATAAACTAAGAGCAGATCAGGAACAGGATTAGAGGCAGAGTGGTAGATAGTCATGCCCTCACGCTGTGTAGGCGAGATCACCTGAGGGAGAGAGCCCTGGCTTTTGTTTACACTAAGGCTCAATTTCTATATTCTTGTTTCTCGAAGGAAACAAGAATAAAAGTGAAATATCTCAACAACGTGAGATAGACACTCTTCCTCTCATCAGTTCTATGACTGAAATGTCGAGGGATATAATTGTCCTCTCATCAGTTCGAAGACTGAGATGTCGAGGGAATAAGCAACACGCTATAGGGGGCACTGCAGCAGCGGAACTGTAGCGGCGACGACACTGTAGCAGCAGCAACGTGATACTGTAGCAGCAGTACTGTAGCGACGATGGTGGTACTATAGCGACGACGGTGGTACTATAACGACGGCGGCGGTATTGTAGCAGCAGCATCTGAGGGTTTTTGAATGAGGATTTGTGGCGGCTAGGATTTCATACTCTGATACCGTGTAGAAAATTGAGAAAACCCTAATTGTTGTTTATTGAGAATAACAAGAGAGATATATATAGCCATACAAATAGGGTTAAGGTTAACGGGTAACAGCCCATTAACCCAATACCCAATACTTAACAAATACCTACTGGAGTTGAATGAATATTCTTGTACGAGTCATTCATACTTTCTAACTATCAGTCAATCACATGTCAACCCGATGTAGATCAAGTTACGCCAAAAACAATTTTCATTAATTCCGATCAAAAGTACAAGAAATTTATTGAATATCATAAAACTGTTGAAGAATTTCTTCATATACTAGCCTGATGATGTCATTAATATATATGGGTTTTTCTCTTTTAACCCAAAGTTTTACCCCTACTAATTTAAAAACACATCCACTTTTCCAAACATCAATACACCCAATGTATCTCATCCCACTTATTTTTAAACCCAATATGCATAATACACTCATTCTTTAGACTATATTACCCAATAAATCAAAAAATCCTAAACTACCCCTCATCCCCAAATACAACTAGTCTCTCCCTCTCTCTCTCCTCCGTTTCACTTTCCCAAATAGAGCGATTCCCGTAGAGCCCTAAGATTGATTCTCAAACTTCAAAACCCCCAAATCAATCTCAAAATCCTAAAAATAATTGTCCTAAATCTCTCTAGTTTGTATAAACGCACCCTCTCGCTCTTATTTTAGCTCCACACACCTCTCTCGCTCTTATTTTGGTTCAAGTCAATGATAAACAGTTCAACTTTCAGACGAAGGAGAAAAGACCACTGTCGCAGATCTGTGTACTTGATTGTTTCATATCTATGTACTTCATTGTTTCATGTTGTGTTGATTTTGGGTAGTGGTGATTTTGGACACTGAATATAAATCAAATCAGATTTTTCTGAGCAATGTAAACATGTGATGATGTATACGTCGACGAGATGTCCACTCCAAATTTTCTAGTTTCTAAAAAAGTATAGCTCTTTATACTGAAATGTAGCACATTTTGTGAAAGTATAACTCTTTATTCCAAAGTATAGCTCTTTATTGACAAATTAGTATAGCTCTTTATATTCTTTGAAAATTCTACAACTTAGTGAAATAAATAAAATCAGTTTTTTTAGCAATGTAAATGTGTGATGATGTATGTGTTGTTCGATCGATTATTCATGTCGACGAGAGGTTCACTCTCAATTTTCCAATTTTTGAAAAATTATAGCTCTTTATACTGAAGTGTAACACCTTTATGTGAAAGTATAGCTCTTTATTCCAAAATATAGCTTTTTATGACCATGGTATAGTCCTTTATCAATAAAATATAGCTTTTTATGTACTCTGAAAATTTTAAAACTTGGTGAAATAAATCAAATTAGTTTTTTCTGAGCAATGTAAACATGTGATGATGTACATAATGCGTTGCTCGGTTGATTATTCTTGTCAACAAGAGGTCCACTCTCAATTTTCCCCTGTTTTCAAAAAAGTATAGCTCTTTATACTAAAGTGTAACACATTTTTGTGAACGTATAGTTCTTTATGACCATAGTACAACTCTTTATTGATAAAGTATAGCTCTTTATGTTCTCTGAAAATTCTGAAACTTA